ATGGATTATCTGGATTATCTCGGCAAAGGAGAAGTGCTCACTAACACAGATTTAGACAGATTTGTGAACAAGAAATAGGCCGATGGACTGAATGAAAATGCATATTTATTCTCTGACAGCAGGTGGCGCTATATTACACTACTTAGTTTAAAGGGGACCTATTATGCCCCTTTTTACAAGATGTAAAATAAGTCTCTGATGTCCCCAGTGCGTGTATGTGAAGTTTTAGCTCAAAATACCCCACAGATAATTTTTTATACCTTGTTGAAATTGCCACTTTTAGGGTATGAGCCAAAACGTGCCGTTTTTGTGTTTGTCCTTCTGGAATGACTGCCTATGACTGACTGTATTCGCCGTCTGACTGCATGAACCGTGACGGTTCGGGACGAATACGTGTTCCGTTACACCCCGACAACACAATGTGAATGCATATAATTAAGGGGCTTTAATGCTTTTTTCTGTAGCTTTTTTACCTTAAACTCTCCAAAGTTGAGCAGGCCAGGCAGCTGGAATGATCCCCATTTATTGAAGTTGATCCCAGAACGAAAGAAGTTGAGTGTAAAAGTGGCAGACATGGAGCAGAACAACTTTAATACAGAAGAGAGACAGAGAGGGAATTATAAACTGAACTTTCTTAGCACAGACTGAAATTACATGAACAAAACCCTACATAATATATCCACATACCACTTTCCATGTGAGGGCCTGGTTCCAGAAGGACGACCCCTCCTCCAGACTGAAGAGGGTGCCCCCTATAGGTGCCCCGAAGGCAGCCGCAACTCCAGCCGCTGCACCCGCTGACACGAAATCCCTCTTGTCCCTGAACACAGAAACAAAATAAACAAAAATATCATTGACAAAATCCCAAATGACCATGTTTAGTTTAATAATACAAATTCCTGGTCATATTGTGTATGTTTCAATAATATTTTAAATATTATTTATTAAATAATTATTTAATATTTATAATAAATAGAGTAGGATGCAATAGGGATGGGCAATATGACCAACATCTTAACACAATAGGAGTAATTGTTTTCACGATATCAAAATAGTTATTTTGCTTTAAGTAAGGTTTTTATTATATCAATTTTTGATACCAAAAATTTCACAATTCTTGTCCTCAATTTCAATATCACACACACACAAATATAATTAATACTAGCTAACTAGCATAAGTGTTAAAAAAAACATCCAAGCTTACTGAAGACAAGTAAAAGAACTAAGAAACTAATTACAAGCAACAGGACACAAATCTACAATAGAACAAAGACTTAAATGAATCAGACCTACGTGAAAAACTTCAAGCACTAGAAACACGAAATGCTACTTGAATTGTATGTTATGCACAAAAAAAAGAACACTGCATAGTCTTCACTGTGTAAAAACATAAATACAGATTTATTCCTAATAACACAAGTGATTCAGTCAAGAGCAGCAAGGGATTTTCTCTCTTTTGTTGTTTGATAAGCATTAATGACACAGACAGCACCAGGTTTATTAGGCTGCTGTCACTCTAAGACCGAAAGAACGTATCTAATATACTGATACACATGCATTTTCTTTCTCAACTGTTAACTTAAGACACAAATGGCTCATTTTATGAGGATACTCACGTGTTTTACGTGCATGCGCTCAAACCGTCTCTCAGAGTGCGTGCACATATTAGGGGTTGCACCGACTAGTCGATTAGTCGACTTTAATGCTCTGCCATGACGCTTTAAGCTTGAGGTCGAGACATTTACACTCCATTTCCAGACAGTTAAAATGCCAAATAAATGCATACTCAAAAAGCGCTCCACAAGATGTGTGTGATTATACCATCTGGATGCTCGAAACTGAACGGGAGAAAGCACATTTTAAACAGCTTATTGTACAGGTAAGTTAACCGCCGTTCTAATCTAATGCGCCGCTGCACTGTAACGCACACACATATAGGCTACAGACAGTGGCTCGTACATCACGTGCAGATCGTGCCTGTCAACACTGTTCTATGATTTCTCAATAACATAGCTTAGAAACTGAAAAGTTCTAGCATATATTTCTTACCTAAATCCCACAGCTTCATTATTAGTTGAGAGATGCTGCCAGGTAGAATAGGTTTGATGGCCACTTAATGCTTTACATTTATTCTGTGCAATGTTATGAATGATTCAGTGCTTGTCGTGTTGTAGTGCTCACCTGTCACTGCGGAAATAGGGAAAGTGAAAGCGGATCTTCTTGAAGGTGATGCTCTGAAACTAACCAGAGAGACAAGCATGCTTTCATAAGTGTATGACTGTGACAAGAGAAATAATGCATGAATGAATCGCCCGGTTGCATACAGAACACAAAATCATTAACCATCTAAAGTATTCTCAACCTCAACAATTTTGAATAGGAGAACGGTTAAAGATTAGTTTATTGTTTGGTTTAAGTTGGATACATGATCATGTGGAGGAGTACCTGAGGAAGTCCTGCTCCTACTATCGCTCCACTGTGAATCATTGGTCCCTCTTTACCCACAAACAATCCTGAAACACAAACAATACTGAATCAGCATGGAACAACTTCAAAAAGACACATCACTGTCATTTAGCTGCATGGCTCTGATCAACGTTTCCGGAATAAGGCCAGTTTGCACATATTTTTCTTCAAAATCTGAATCAAAAAGCGGCAATCACCACCGATAGTCTAATACAGCACAGAGTCAGAGTGTATTCTAATCTTTGTCTGCGCTGATATAGACTATTTTCCTCATCATTACCTCCAGCAACAGCGAACAGGACTCCTGTGACCTTACATATGAAGGTTCGCAGCCGCACAATCCCGGGAATCTTTACTCCGTTCAGGTAACTTTTAATTTCTGGGATACCAGACCCAGCTGCAACAGGCTATTACACAGAAGAAACATATTGTATAGGCTACTACACACACACACACACACACACACACACTACTGTACAATTATTAATTTGGCTTTGTTTTTAAAGGGGTCATATGATGCGATTTCAAGTTTTCCTTTCTCTTTGGAGTGTTACAAGCTGATTGTGCATAGATAAGATCCCTGAAGTTGCAAAGACTAAAGTCTCAAAACCAAAGAGATATTCTTTATCAAAGTTAAGACTCTGCCACGCCCCCCTAAAACGGCTCGTTCTAACACGCCCCCACATATCTACCTCACCATGTGGAAATATTAGCATAATGCCGCCCAAATGTGCACGCAAAGAAAAAAGGCGTGGTTTCAGTAACCGCAGTTAGTGTTGAAACAGCCATGTCAGGGAGACGCTGTGTGTTTCTAAACGAAAGCAAAAGCACTTTATTTGGCCTACCAGAAGTAGATGCATTTAGGAATCTTTAAGATCACTTACAACAGAACAGCAATGCATTTTATGGACGACCGTTTCATGAACCTAGGAGAGGACGTAATTCTGACTTTGCTATGACAATCTGGCACTTCTGAATCAGCTACTGTAAGTATGTTTTGCTATTAGTTTAAGTATTTGCTATTGACTGTTCAAATGCAGAGTTTTGCGCATCATGTCTGTGTGTGTGTGAGAGAGAGAGAGAGAGAGACAGAGACAGAGACAGGGTCACATCACAGAGTTAGATGTCTTAACCATGGCTTGTGTACTGCAAACACATATTCATCACTGTGTCTGTCACGAGACTCTGTTCCCCTTTCAGGCTCTGTCTTTACATTTACTTTGAAAGCTGAAGCTCGCGATTATGGTAAGGGGCGTTACATTTCCGACGAGTGCTTGCGGTGTTCGGCCAATCACAATGCACTGGGTCAGCTGGCCAATCAGAGCAGACTGCACTTGTCGGAAGGAGGGACTTTGTAGAAAACGAAGCGTTTGAGAGAGGCGGGGCATAGAGGACCTACAATAATGTACAGTATTTGAAAAATAATGTGTTTTTTGAACATTAAAGCATGTCAACATATTCTGTTACACCAAATACACAAAATAATGATCTTTAAAAAAGCATCATATGACCCCTTTAAAGTATAACATGCATTTTTGATTTTATGTTAAATTATCTCAGACATGCATACACATATATTTTACATATACTGGCAGTTAAAAGTGTGGCATAATTAAGATTTCTTGATGTGTTTTTTTCTTTACAATTTAAAAATAACTACTTGAATATATATATTAAAATGTAATTTATTTCTGTGATCAAAGCTGAGTTTTCAGCATCATTACTCCAGTCTTCAGTGTCACATGATCCTTCAGAAATCAGTATAATATGCTGATTTGCTGCTCGAGAAACATTTTAATATTATTACTGTATATGTATTAAATATATGCTGCATTGGTGAGAATAAGAGATTTATAAAAAAAAAAAAAAAGACTTTATTCTTGAACATATCGGCCTGAGATGTTGTTACCTCAATGAGCACCAGAACGCTGGAGATGAATACGAACACCATATTGAGAGCCAGCAGCTCCAGTAAGGAGAGAGCTAGACAGCCATTCTCACTGCATTCCTCCACAGCTGAAGCACACGTCAAGGACTCCACTCAGCAAATAGTGCAGCATTACACAAACCAAAACACAACGCAGAACTGAGCCGAAAGATAGGATACATTGTCCAACCAAGCTGAACTTCAGCTGAGTGAAGAGCCACACGAAGAAATCAACAAACAGGCCAGTCTGAATAGAAAAAAATTAATTAAACAAAATCAGAAATTTGTGCATAATCATTAGAGCACAGAAATTGTAGGGAGGTGAAACTCATAAACAAATGACCAGTATTTCACCTCCCAAAAAAAAAAAAAAAAAAAAAAACTTGATGTTCCTAAAAAGGCTTCATTTTCTATAATGATATTTATATAATTTAATATAATTATTTAATTAATTATTTTGGGGGGGATTAAATGTGTTTGAATTGTAAAAATATTAAAAAATAAAGTTTAAATATATCTGTAAGCATTTGTATGTACTAAATGTAAACGCTAAATAATATCAAAGAATACCAATGTTAATATTGTGGACACAAAATGTTTCCAACAGAAAGAATTGATATAAGTGACTTCAACCTGATCAATTTATTGTAACCTTTAAGATCTTGCATCTGAAAACAAAGACATTTGTTCTTGTTTTCTCATATTGTTCTTTTATTGTCTCCCAGTGACATTTGATTTTATCCAAATCAAGTAGTGCGATCTATTATTTTCTATAAATCTCATTCTCCGATAGGGTATAAACCACCACGAAACTCACCAGTCCTGTTGACACTCCAATCGCAAAAACCAAAATCCACTTTATCGCTTCATACCTTCTAGCTTTCTGTAAGAGAAATGAGATAATACACTTGGTAAACAGGGACTTGACATCATATGAATATAATAAATGAAGACATTACACATTTTACCTTATTATCCAACCCCTCCAAAACCTCCAGGAATGGCTCATTAATGCACCGGTCATAATCCAAACTCTGAAATGCCAACCATAAATAAAGACATGCAGCATTCGTATTTTTTTTAAACATAAAACAAATAATCGTGTTGCAAGTCTTTTGCTTTTATTGGAAGCGTAATCTGTCGTGTCCATTACTCACTAACCTCATAGTCTTTTCTCGGCAATATTTCATCCTCATCTTCTCTGGTTTCACCCAGTATTGTCTAACAAGCAAAAGGCAGCAACAAAATCAGGTTAACATGTTCAGAAAAAGTAAAACCCTAATCTAATGGGTTTCCCAGGCTGGGACCTCAGTCCTCAGAATGAACAGATGGCCTGGATCGACTCTAAACAATGGAGTGACTGTTTCTGACATTTCACTTTATTATACCTAAAATAATGACTGATGCAAAAGATTTGTCTGCAATATTATCATCAGTTTACAACCATAAAGAACACATTGGCAGTATTAAACCAGGTTGATCATCATATCAAGAAATACAGCTTGTGTCTCTCATACCCTGGTGAGCTCTAGACAATGATTTAACAGTGATATAACGCCCTGATGATATATTGTCCAAAGCTGCTTCACTGGCCAAAGATGACCAACAATGTCGTCTACATAGGGAGCACACTAGACTCAGAAACGGGTACACTTTCATGTTCATTGATAATGCATACTGAATTCAGTAGCTTGTTGAGTTTTACTGCTCTCAGCAGACTTGGTTTGATTGCTGAACTCATTGTTAATGTACACCTGATTCACATCAGGCTGTTTACAGTCAATTTGGGTGGAGAACAGCAGACAGAGCATCAGAATGAATTCAACAAAGCGTTTTGCGTTCGGAAACAGATAAGACAAATCAAATATTTTATACCAGCTCCTCTGGTGTTCTGGTTTCGCCTTCATTGCAGCAGCACTGACAACACAAACAGCCTCCACAGCACGCCATCATCTTCAGCAGCACGCCTGATCACATGACCATCACACAGGCCAGCTGGGGTATTCAAGCGCGCGCCAGCTGCGCAGCTCTAACGCAGACACGAGGGACTCAAGCCCAGTATGCTATGCTACCAAAGTCCCTTTCAAGGGAATATTTCTATAGTCTTTGTATGCAACCGACTAATCTATGATATGTGTACTAGTGATAAAGCTCATTTCCGCCACATACGGGAAAAAAAATCTGCTTTAGTAAATCAACAAAACATAAAATGTCTAAACTCTGAGATACTAAGTCATATTTATGAGATCAATAAGTACGATGAAACGTAAGGTATAAGATAAAAGGTCAAAATTATGACATAATATGACATAAAAGTACACAGTATGAGACACTAGGCTACATCATGATTAGTTGGTGTGCCAACTTATCTAATATTTTTATCTCGTGATTATGACTTTATCTCATTATTTCGACATTTTGTCATAATTTCGACTTTTTACGTCATAGCTATAACTTTTATTTCACAATTATGAGTTGATATCTCATTTTGACGTTTTATGTCATAATTTCGACTGTTTTATTATTATGTATTTACAATGAGCCATTGTGGGTGCTTAGAGTCTGCAGATATGTGTATTACAAATATATATAATGTGAGATTAAACTAAAGGCTTCAAATGAAAGAGAACAGTTTGGATAAATAGATTGACTGTTCTTTTCTTTTCTTTTCCTTTCTGTGTGGACGTGCGCGTTTCAGCGAGTGTAGCTCATTAATTATTAATAACTACATGTGGTGTGTTTACATCACACACGATGACAGACGCTGCATCCGAGGGGGCGTGGCCCGCATGAAGGGGGCGTGGTCTTTCTCCACCAAGCCTCTTGCTGGCCGCACACGCTGTTTAGCAGAGCTGCACTCTCCTCTCATAGCTCCTGGAGGATTGGGAAAAGGTTGAAGGTAATGGAGGAAAGGCGTTTTTATACTATTACAGGGTCGGCGTGACTGTTTCGGTTTAGGCTAATTACCTTAAGAATTAAGAACCGCATGTCCCGAGCTATGAACAATATCAAAAGATGCACAAATCAATCAAATCAAAGCGAGTTATCATGTCATATGAATTTGTTTCACTGTTTGTTGCTTGCATTGATTGTCTGTTTAAAAAATGGAGTATTTAAAAGCAACATTCTTTTGAATGAACGTGTCTTCCTTATATGTGAAGTAGGCACGTTATAAACTCATCAGCCGTAATGCATTCAGCAAATATGATCGTCGTGATGATACGAATCGTTATTTTATTCATAGAGCGCTTTTTAGGGTACTCCAAGACACTTTACAACATGTTCATGTACTTCTACTACCATTTACGGTACTTCTATGAGACCGGCGAGATCGGGAGCAACAAATGCTAAACTATGTTTTGGTATAACTCGTGTATATGTCGTTATCATATTCGAAAAAGACTTGATCGCAATATTGAGTTTTATGCAGGAACATTCGGATGATTGGCAATTAGTAGTAATTATTTTAGCTATCAGTAATACATATTCAAGTAGTAAACTTTAAATTAAAAGTTTAAGTGAAACATTAAATACTATTTAATAAAATATATTAATCATCTAATGTCTTCAATCACATATGTTACTGAAATAATGTTACATAATTTTACACAATTTATATATTCAAATGGAATGTGCACAGTATGAGAACATGCTGTTCTGGATAATGTATCCCACAATTCAGTGGGACTGACATTTCTACTGTGACATGGTCTGTAAGTCATTACTAGGGATGGGCGATACCACTTATTTTGTTTTCGATACGATACCGATATTTTTCAAGGCAGTATTGTCGATATCGATACCGATTCGATACTTCTGAACTAAACTTTTAAATTATGAAAATTATTAAATTACTAAGAGTAAAATGGGTAATGATAAGCTCTTAACTTTTTGTTTAAAACGCATTTTAACATTCAGTATGCCTTAATTGCAACTTATTAGGTTATATTTTTTGTTTACACATGGTTCAAATCTATAAATACTACAGTTGAACTATGGTCACTTTAGTAAAACCATGGTTCATTTTCATAAGGGACTGCCAGTGACAGGCTGTTGCATGCATAAAATGCAACCTTTTTATTCTGACAGTGTATGATTTCTATTAACATTACAGAATAGAACATGATCAATATTATCTTTCAACGTTCAATTTAAATAACTGTAATTGCACAAACTATGTAGGCTAATTTCAATTTGTTTATTGTGAAACAACTCAAACATATATGTTTTTTTTCTTCTGTCCTTATTTTTTATTTTTTTTTACATATACATCTTTATCAGGCTTTTATGAAAATAAAATTGGACAATTTTGAAAATAAGGCATTTTAATAACTGACTAATAACTTTTTCTTCGCCATTAAAATAAAATTAACCATTAACCAACCTAAATAAAGGAGCATGATAACAATGCTCATTTAAAAGAAACATTCTCAGACAGGCTTAGAGGATTTCACATATAATTTGCGTAGGTTACAGTAAAAACAAACAAACAAACACACACAGTTGTGATTATCTTTTATTTAACTTTTCGTCTATATTGTCTAGGTCAGGTCAACATCAGACAAATCACTGACTTGAATATTATCAAACCACTATAGGGCCATTTTAGAGAAACTGATCCTCCAACATTTCTAAAGAATCTGGCTGATGTTCTGATAGAAAACATTCAACTGGAGACTATTTAAAGGCAGGGTAGGTGATTTGATTCAAAAACATTTTTTGTTATGCTGGTTGAAAGTCTCTTCACATCCCGATAGCTATCACTAAGTTAATAGGTCTAAATGTATTTATAGGTATTTATGTCGTCTGTGGAAGGTGAAGGAGCATAAAATGTTCGTCCAATCATATCCCTCGGTCCGAGGATTACGATAGGCTGTCCTACCTGCCTGTCACTGTATGTATTTGCATACCTTTGCACACCGTGTTCACGCAGACACGATACATCATCAGCGCGTTCATTATGCTATTGCAGACTGAGCAAGAATGGAAGGCGTTATTATTGTAATATTATATGCTATTTTACTGTAATGCTTTCTCACCGGTGAATGAGACATGAGGTAATCTGACAGCATTGACGCCGTCTCTCATCGTGTCGCAGGTTAGTCTCTGGTCTGCCTGAGCCATGTGTTTTGGAGGAGGCGTGGCTTTGGAGAGTGATTTGCAGGGAGGGTGGGATCTTATGCTTTCAAAGCTAGCTTGTTATTGCTAGCCTCTCCAAAATCACATACCCTACCTTTAAAAGTTGTATGAATCTATTATAAGAAGGTTGGAAGCTGAATTAAAGGCAAATGAAACTACAGTGCATCCGGAAATTATTCACAGCGCTTCACTTTTTCCACAATTTGTCATGTTATAGCCTTATTCCAAAATGGATTAAATTCATTATTTTCCTCAAAATTCTACAAACAATACCCCATAATGACAACGTGAAAGAAGTTTGTTTGAAATCTTTGCAAATTTATTAAAAATAAAAAAACGAATCGCATGTACATGAGTATTCACAGCCTTTGCCATGACACTCAAAATTGAGCCCAGGTGCACCCTGTTTCCACTGATCGTCCTTGAGATGTTTCTACAACTAGATTGGAGTCCACATGCGGTAAATTCAGTTGATTGGACAGGATTTGGAAAGGCACACACCTGTCTATATAAGGTCCCACAGGTAACAGTGCATGTCAGAGCACAAACCAAGCCATGAAGTCCAAGGAATTGTCTGTAGACCTCGGAGACAGGATTGTATCGAGGCACAGATCTGGGGAAGGGTACAGAACAATTTCTGCAGCACTGAAGGTTCACAGAAGCATGTAGTCTCTGTTACCCTTAATGGAAGAAGTTTGAAACAACCAGGACTCTTCCTAGAGCTGGCCTCCTGGCCAAACTGAGCAATTGATGGAGAAGGGCTTTGGTTAGACTGGTGACCAAGAAGCTGATGGTCACTCTAGTTGAGCTCCATGATCATATATGCAGATGGGAGAAACCTACAGAAGGACAAACATCACTGCAACACTCCAAGTTCTTTCACGTTGTCATTCTGGGGTATTGTTTGTAAAATTGAGGAAAATAATAAATTTGATCCATTTTGGAATAAGGCTGTAACATGACAAAATGTGGAAAAAGTGAAGCGCTGTGAATAATTTCCAGATGCACTTTAAAATACCTTAAAAAGTAGCATTGCCTATTTCTCAGGTGTTTCGCATTATTTTGTCCAACCTCTGTATATTCATTTTGCCTTGTGACACATTTGAAAATTAGGTATTTGTTTTTTGAATGAATGGTCTTTTTGTTCTTTGTGTCAGATTTGACCGGATGGGTTCTGGGGGTCCGCTCTTCATTGACGTCACTTGGCATCCGGCTGGAGATCCGGGCTCGGATAAAGAAACATCCTCCATGATAATAACAAGC